TCCTTTTTTTTTTTTTTTTTGAAACAGAGTCTCACTTTGTTGCCCAGGCTAGAGTGAGTGCCGTGGCGTCAGCCTAGCTCACAGTAACCTCAAACTCCTGGGCTCAAGTGATCCTCCTGCCTCAGCCTCTTGAGTAGCTGGGACTACAGGCATGTGCCACCATGCCCAGCTAATCTTTTTTTTTTTGTATATATATTTTTAGTTGACCAATTAATTTCTTTCTATTTATACTAGAGACGGGGGTCTCGCTCTTGCTCAGGCTGGTTTTGAACTCCTGACCTGGAGCGATCCTCCCACCTCGGCCTCCCAGAGTGCTAGGATCACAGGCGTGAGCCACCGCGCCCCCACCCAGTTTTACCCTTTATCTGGGCCTGTTAGCTTTAGTGAAAGCAAATAAACATTAGCTCTTGTTCAAAGGGCAGCCTGGCCTGGGGGACTTAGGAGGAATCATTTCCAAGTCGTCTGGGGCAGTTAAAACACTCTTCTTCGAAAAGGTTTGTCCTGTAGGGACAGGGTTCTATCACTTTTCAAGGTGATCTGTCTGTCTCTCTGTCTGTCCGTCCACCGGCCTTTAAGAGAGCATTAGGCAGTTGGAGCGAGGAGTGAGGTGGGAGCAAGAGAGAGAGAAATCCACTGAGCTTGTCAATATCATGCTCGTCTGTGTTTTCATCTTGCTTGTCTTCCACTCCATCATCATCGTCATCATCATCATCATCAATATCGCGATCATTACTGCTCTCATATTCATAGTAAGAGCTAGGCACTGGACTCTCTAATTTCCACTGAGTTCTGATTTCTACTTAGGGACGCTGAGAGTTTTTTTTTTACCCCCCAGAGTTTTAGACTTGCGTCATTTTCTAGCCACACCAACCAAATTGCAGTCTTCAATGCGGCAGAGCCAGCATGCAGCCACCCTAACTGGAAATCGTTCTGCGGTTCTGTAGCTGCTTGGAGATGCTTCACCATCTGAAAAAAAGGGGGTGATTCCACTTGGACCCGCCTCCCCGCATTGTTGTTTGAGGAACTGAAAGAGAGAGAGTCTTAGAAGTAAAAGGGTCTGTACAAATGCCGGGCATGGTTATTCCTGGTCTGCATCGGGTGGAAGAAGTCTCCAGTTCCAGAAAGTTCTATGTGGCTGCCAGAAGTACCAGGACTGTTCAAACACTGCAGGAAGACAGGCTTCTCTCTCTTTGACTGCCAGCGCGATCTTTTGAAAAAGTAAATCTTGATCTTGCCACTTCTATTCTCAGATCGCTTCTTTCTTTTCTTTCTTTCTTTCTTTCTTTCTTTCTTTCTTTCTTTCTTTCTTTCTTTCTTTCTTTCTTTCTTTCTTTCTTTCTTTCTTTCTCTTTCCCTCCCTTCCTTCCTTCCTTCCTTCCTTCCTCCCTTCCTCCCTTCCTCCCTTCCTCCCTTTCTCCCTTCCTTCCTTCCTTCCTTCCTTTCTTTTCTTTCTTTCTTCACAGTCTCACCGTGTTGCCCACGCTAGAGTGAGTGCCGTGGTGTCAGCCTAACTCACAGCAACCTCCACCTCCTGGGCTCAGCGATCCTCCTGCCTCAGCCTCCCGAGTAGCTGGGACTACAGGCATGCGCCACCATGCCTGGCTCTCTTTTTTCTATATAAGTTTAGTTGTCCAATTAATTTCTTTCTTTCTTTCTTTCTTTTTTTTTTTTTTTAAGAAGAGACAAGACTCTCACCTCTTGCTCATTCTGGTTTCCAACTTCTGACCTCGAGCGATCCTCCCGCCTCGGCCTCCCAGAGTGCTAGGATGACAGGCGTGCGCCATCGCGCCTGGCCCAGATCTCTTCCTTGACTGTCCAGTGCTTGGAGTGCAAAACCCAGGCTCTCCTTAGCATGGCCGAGAGGACTCCTTTAATGTCTCCTGTCCCCCCAGTGTGCCCACCCAGCCGTGGCTGACGTCCAGATGCACCAGGCCTCCCATAGCTCATCCCCTTTGCTGGGACGGCTCTTGTCCCCTTGGTCAGTGCGTGAAAAAGGACAGACCCAACCCATGACATCTCCTTCCAGCTCCTTGTTTCTGCTTGCAGATTCCTGCAAACTCCAAAACTACCTATGCCAGGGCCACAGAGTAATTGGCGCTGCACAGAGTCCCGTTTGGGTAGCAGTGCTATTTGTAAAAGTGGGTATTTTAAACACCTTGCCGCTGGATGTCTCTGGAATGTGTCATACGTCATAATTCCGCAGCCCCTGCAGGCTGCTCGCTTGAGTCTCCTTAGAGGTTACGGCTGAGGTTCGTTTGGATGTTCTCAGCGCATGCCAAGGAGTGGCAGAGAAAACTGCTCACCCGCCTGTGAGCAACCCAGTGACTTCTTTGAGATGAAGCGTTTCCCTTGGGTAACTTTCTGAAGTATATTACAGGCAGATGATGAATGGATAATCGGGGTCCTTTAACACCTTTCAGACTGCACAGAAATTTCTAAGACAAATGCCAGGGACTGCACGTTTTTGGGCAAACTGTATGTTATTTGAATCATCATAACTATAGATCATAATGTACTTTAGGTGTTTTTTTTTTTAAATTTTAGCATATTATGGGGGTACAAGTGTTAAGGTTGCATATATTGCCCATGCCCCCCTCCCCCCTTGAGTCAGAGCTTCAAGCGTGTCCATCCCCCAAACGTTGCACATCTCACTCATTGTGGTTGTATACACCCCTCCCCTCCTCCCCCCTCCCACCTGCCCAATGCCCGATAGATGTTACTCCTATGTGTCCACTGAGGTGCTGCTCAGTTAATACCAGTTTGCTGGTGAGTCCACGTGGTGCTTGTTTTTCCATTCTTGGGATACTTCACTTAGCAGAATGGGCTCCAGCTCTAGCCAGGAAAATACAAGAGGTGTCAGATCACCATTGTTTCTTAGAGCTGAAGAGTACTCCATGGTATACATATACCACATTTTATTAATCCACTCATGAATTGATGGGCACTTGGGTTGTTTCCACAGCTTTGCAATTGTGAATTGTGCTGCTATAAACATTCGAGTGCAGGTGTCTTTTTTGTAGAGTGTCATTGGATCTTTTGGGTAGATGCCCAGTAGTGGGATTGCTGGATCCAATGGTAGATCCACTCGTATCGCTTTGAGGTGTCTCCATATTGCTTTCCACAGAGGTTGAACTAGTTTGCAGTCCCACCAGCAGCGTAGGAGTTTTTATACTTCGATTTTCCTTGTATGTTGAGGACGTTGTACACTCTAAATCAGGGGTCCTCAAACTTTGTAAACAGGGGGCCAGGTCACTGTCCCTCAGACCATTGGAGAGTGCGCACTGTGGGCCCGGGACGAGTCGGCTGCTAAGCAGGACAGGCAGCGCGGCAAAAACACCCGGAGGGCCGGATACATGTCCTAGGCGGGCCGCATGTGGCCCTCGGGCCGTAGTTTGAGGACGCCTGCTCTAAATGAATTGAAAAATATCCACAGTTTATAATATACAGCTCTACTATTTTTGTCCATTTCATCGTTTTCCTTAGAATGGACCAACACGAAAGGAATTGATCCGCACGGTCAACGCCGTCCATGTGGGCATTGCATTCCGTGATGCAGGCAGGCTTTACAATATTCTCTCCCGTTTTTCTATATTTTTTTTCCTGTTGTTGAGCTAGAAGTGTCGTGGATCGTTGACATCATTCGGACAACCCGCTTGTCTTTCCATGCTAGGAGAAGACTGTCGCCTTTTCTGGAAAATGTGATGTCACCTTTTGTCATTCTTGATGTCTTCATTTGCAAATTTGGCAGCAAACCTCTACTCTCCCTAATGGACAAGACAGCGTGCTTGATGTCTAAGGTCCATGACAGATGGCACGGGGGACACGAGAAAACTCGTGAGCCGTCTGAAAGGTGTTAAAATCGCTTTTACTTTAAAAAATAGAATATAGTAAGTCTAACTATGCTGGTCAGGAGGGAAACAAGGTGTTGTTTATTTATCACATTTGTAAAGCCCTGGGTTGGCTAATCATTTTGTTTGTGGCTTCTGCAATATTAAGGTTTCCAAACCCTTTCCTTCCTCCTCAGCCCTTCTGTGTGTCTGGCAGTGCTTCTGTCCCTCCTGCCTCTGCAAATGGCTTCAAAGGACACGGATGAAACTCTTTGCAAAGTGACAATCCGTATGCAAGCACGAGGGCTTTCATTGCAAGTTTTGTCACTGGGTACGGTGTGCCCTTCTGCCCATCAAACTGCTTCTTAGCTGGGATGGATCAAGGAATCGACTTGTAATGACAAGTCAGTCTCCTGACTTCCCAGCTGCTTTGGAACTTTTCCGGGGACAGGAAGGAAGAAGCCACGAATCGAAGCGTGCTCTTCATCCATCTGTCCCGAAGCTGCATGTCCTGCCGCTGCTGGTCAGGGTCTGCCCCGCACAGGGGTGTCAGGGTGGGTAAGACCTGAGGCTCCTGGTTCTCGCGGGGTTGGGGGGCAGAAGCCTAAATGTCACCTACCCGTGCGGGACCACGAGCATGCCGCGGAACCTCGCCGAGCTTTAGGCGTCTTATCTGCTAGCGGAGGACAATGCGAGTTCCCACCCTCCTTGTATCAAGCGAGATAATGACACAGGGAAGGCTGGTGACTATTGACTAAGAAGCAGGTGCTTAAATGCAGGCGAGGCACTATGCTACGAGCCAGCAGGGGACATTATCAATGTCGTACGGTCGTCATCACTCATCATTATCATTAACTCAAAGTCTTGGGCAATTTCAGGCGTGGCTGGGTGCAGTCTACCTCATTGTCTCCTCAAAACACAGTGGTTCACGACACAAAGAATTGAAAGTGGGGTTGGTCCGGATAACTTTGTTTCTGGCCCAGTTTATTCTTTCTGATGGAAGCCTTCGGTAAAATCTCTGACGCCCCCCTCTCTTCTGTCTGTGCCCGCCGTGTGCGACCCATCAGGGCTGTGACAGCCCCATGTCCAGGCAGGTGTCCCGGGCTGGGGCTCTGGGCCCTCCTGTCACCACCCGATCGCTACCAAGCGCCTTGTGCCCTTGCCAGTGACCGCCCAGTGCCTGCTTTGTGATCGACCACCCAAGCTCCTAGGCATGAGAAGAGACCGGTCCTCGATACTAATAATTTAAAAATAATTATTATGATGCTAATGGGAGGAACTTTTAGTGGTGGCTACCGCATACCGCATGGAGACTTCATGCCACGTGAGTGTGACTTGTCTCGTGAAATCCTACAGCAGTCTTGTGAGAGGGATCCTTGGAGTACTGTTTCATAGTCGGGGAAACTGAGGCAGGGACCGAGGAAGTAAATGGCCCACGGTCATACCCGAGGGATGAAGCAAAGCCAGATAGTCTAACTCCAGGGTCTATGCCAGGCGTCCTCAAACTACGACCCGAGGGCCACCTGCAGCCCACCAAGGACATTTATCCGGCCCACCACCAGGGTGTCTTTGCCGCCGCTGCCTGTCCTGCTTAGCAGCCAACTCGTCCCGGGCCCACAGTGCGCACTCTCCAACGGTCTGGGGGACAGTGACCTGGCCCCCCTGTTTACAAAGTTTGAGGAGCCCTGGGACTCTATGCTAAACCAATAGTCTGTTTGCTTTGCCATTTCCCCCTTTATAGTTTTTTTTCTTAGAAGTCAAAGAACCACAAGAGATGCTCTGACGGTAGGAAATCACATTCCCTGAGCACACACTATATTGCTGGGAATTGTATCGTTTTTCCCCCTTTTCTCCTTTTACTTTTCTGAAAGTCCTAAGAGGGCAGCAAAGGAGTTCACAGTGGCCAGGAACCGATCAGAGAACGGAGGTTCTGCGAGTCTCTGCAAGCCCGATAACCTAAACTTCACAAGGACATCCCTGTCTCCATAACCCAAGCTTGCACTTTCTATTTTTCACTGCAGATTCTTCCCCGAGCATCCAATAATTGCAGAGCCTTGAACGAGAGACCTGTGGCTTTGCAGAGATCCATCGCAAAGACTTTGCGATCTGTCGTCAGAAAGCCCGTGGCCACGAACCATGCTGACCGTGTTGACTCCGTACACACTGGAATGGAAATATTTTCCTCCGAGTGAAAAAAATGATAGCATTTCCAGCCAGAGAGGGGGCTTCTAAACCACGGCACCCTTGTAAGCTCCTCCAAGCGCTGCTCGGGTCCCCCCTGACGGTTCTCTGGTAGGAAATGCCCCCGTCGCTGACATCCTCTTGCATGACAAGAAGACAACGGTTGTAAAACGGGGCTTTCCTGAATGCGGCTCCAACCTGTCGTGGACGTGTGTCCTGGCTCCAAAATAGTCACTTCCACCCCAAGTCCCGAGGGGTGATTGGGGCTTGGCTGCGACCCAGAACTCTGCTGTCGTCTCACCTGGGGTCTCCCCGGGGCAGCCCCTCGCCTAGGGGTGGGACAGGTCCTGGGGCAGGCCGTGAGGACCGGGAGGCGAGGGGCCAGCCTTCCAACCAGAGCAGAGGGAACTGGAGCAAGTGCAACGTGCTCTGGGAGGGCAGGAAAGGCTCTTAATTTTTTCTCCAGGCTTGGGTGTGTATTTATAGGCTGTCAGAGGAGGGGTTTGGGCAGATAGACGTCTTTACTCAAGGAGAAGAGGAAGTCATCTCCCCTGGCCACCCCCCTGCACACCCTTGTCCCCTTTGCTTTGTAAGGACAAGACAAAGTCATGCTCACCTTCCACCGCACTGCTTTGCTAATCGTCTGGAGTCAGGCCCGCCGTACTTCCTCGACTCCACTCCTCCTTCCTGCCGTCGGGACAGGTTTATGGGGCCAAGCACGCACGCGGCAGCCCCGGCCCGGCAGTCCGGAGCCACCGGGTCCTCCCTGCGGGGACCTGAGGCGCGGGGCTCCCAGACGGGGTCGTGACCGAGCCAGAGTAAGTCCCCACACGCACGGTGGCCGGGTTCACGGGGTCCTCCACCTCCCTGCAGTGGCACTGCCACATGTCCCTGAACAGCAAGGGGACACTCTAGGAAAGCTGTCCTTAGCCGACTCCATGGCTGTGTGGACAGCACAGAGTGTGTTCGCACAGATCTAAATGGTGCAATCCCCACTGCACACCTACCGTGGTTCCCCGAAAATAAGACAGGATCTTGTATTTATTTTGCCTCCAGAAGACACCCTAGGGCTTATTTTCAGGGGATGTGTGATTTTTTGTTTTTAAGTACGGTGCAACCATCTACATTGATTCAAATAGAGTGAAGTCGTCTTCTTCTGGAACATCATCCTCACTCTCCAAACCCCGAATCCCATCCTGAATGTCTTGTGACTCTGTTTCCTTTAGAACCACTGGCCCCAGTCTCTCCTGTGGAGCACTAGAGCTCTCATGGGGCAGATGAGAAGGGCTGCTCCTGTTCTTTCCCGCTCCGCGACGACATGCATGGGTTGTGCAGATGCGCTGCGTAGCCACGCCCATTGCTAGGGCTTATTTTCATAGCCACGCCCATCACTAGGGCTTATTTTCATAGCCACGCCCAGCACTAGGGCTTATTTTCATAGCCACGCCCAGCACTAGGGCTTATTTTCGGGGTAGGGCTTCTATTGGGCACATGCTTAGACATCCTGCTAGGGCTTATTTTATGGGGAGGGCTTATTTTCTGGGAAATACAGTAGCTGTAAGGTACAATCTCATGCTCCTAGGCTATAAACCTGTATAGCATGTAACTATATTGAATACTGCAGGCAATTGTAACCAAACGGTAAGTACATGTATGTTGAAACATATCTTAAGTATACAAAAGGAATGGTATAAATATGGTTTTAAAATCTTATGAGCCCACCATTCTTTATGCAGTCCGTCATGGACCAAAACTTTGCTATGTGGCACGTGACTGTATTTGATAGTGCTTAAATAATACCCTGGATCTTTCTTTTGTGGAGGTGGGGTGGGGTTAGTTGGCCAATCACCAGAGCCTATGCTAGCGAAGGTACAGGTGGAGTAGCCCTTATCCAAAATATTTGGGACTAGAAGTATTTCAGATTTCCGATTTTTTTTTTCTGGGATTTTGGAATATTTGCATATGCATAATGAGATAGCTTAGGCATGGTGCCCAAGCCTCAACCCAAAATTCATTTATGTTCCTTGTGCATCGGGCCTGAAGGTTATGTTATACAATATTTTTAATGATTTTAAAGAGAGCTCTCGTGCTCCACGTGAGAGATTGGGGCCAGTGGTTCTAAGGGAAATAGAGTCGCAAGACATTCAGGATGGAATTCGGGGTTTGGAGAGTGAGGATGATGTTCTAGAAGAAGACGACTTCACTCTATTTGAATCAATCTAGAAGGTTGTACCATACTTAAAAAAAAAAAAAAATAACACATCCCCTGAAAATAAGCCCTAGGGTGTCTTCTGGAGGCAAAATAAATACAAGACCCTGTCTTATTTTCGGGGAAACACGGTAGGTGTGCAGTGGATTGCACCATTTAGATTTGTGCAATTTAGCTTTGTGATTTTGTGCAGGAAGCAAAGTTCTGACTGCATTTCCACTCTGACCTGCCCATCCCATGAAGTCAGGTCTGGAATTTTCCACTTACGGCTTCACGGCAATGCCCCCAAATTTGGGGGTTTTGGAGCATTTGGGATTTTTTATTTTCGGACTAGAGATTCTCAACCTGAACATCATCACCCGCCAACAGCAGTGCTGGGTGCTTTACTGGCCTGGTCTCAAATGAGTCCTCACGCTTGGCTTCCTATAAGTGCTCCCGTTAGTCCCATTTTACAGATAAGTAAACTAAGGTTTAGAGAGAGAAAGAAACCTGTCTCGGGTTACACGCTGTCTTGGTTTATGTCCTGCTTTGAAGTAGCTCCCATGGCAGGGATTCAGCCGAAAATAGCTTACTTGGATTGTCCAGGAAATACCGGTGGGGCCGTTGGAAAGTTAGGCATGGAAGGGAAGGTTGCTAATAAAGGATGTGACAGCAACCAGAGGGACACCAGTGTCACCCCATAGGGACACTGTGGAAACCCGCACGGAACACACACGCCAGAGCTACCCCTGCACAGGGGCAGGAGTCTGGACTGGCGTCTCGTACCAGCGCCGCGGGTTCTCTGTGGAGGGTGAGTGGGGTGGAGGTGGTGTGCTCGTGCCTCCGTGGGGGCGTGCCGTCCAGGGCAGTGCCGTCAAGGGCATCGCTATAGGTCCCCTGTCATCCCGCTAGGGCTGCCGGAGCAGAACGCCACGGGTCGGGGGGCTCACACCGCAGAAATGTCTTTGCCCCCCGTCCTGGAGGCTGGCAGTCCAAGATCAAGGTGTCAGCAGGGTTGGTTTCTTTTCTTTCTTTCTTTCTTTCTTTCTTTCTTTCTTTCTTTCTTTCTTTCTTTCTTTCTTTCTTTCTTTCTTTCTTTCTTCCTTCCTTCCTTCCTTCCTCCTTCTTCTTCCTTCTTTCTCTTCCTTCTTCCTCCTGTCCTTCCTTCCTTCCTTCCTTCTTCCTTCCTTCCTTCTCCTCTTTCTTTCTTCTCTTTCCTTCTTCTTCCTTCCTTCCTTCCTTCGTTCCTTCTTCTCTTCCTCCTTCTTTCCCTTCCTGTTTTCTTCTTTCCTTCCTTCCTTCCTTCCTTCTTCCTTCCTTCTTCTCCTTTCTTCTTTCTTTCTTCTTTCTTCTTCTTTCTTTCTTCTTTCTTTCTTTCTTCTTTCCTGCTCACTGCGCTTTTCCTTCCTCCTTCCTTCCTTTTCTTTCTTCCTTCTTTCCTGTTCCTTCCCTTCCTTCCTTCCTTCCTTCCTTCGCTTCCTTCCTTCCTTCCTTCCTTTCTTCTCTTCTTTCTTTCGTTCTCTTTCTTTCTTCTTTTTTCTTTCTTTCTTTCTCTTCTTTTTCTGTCAATTGCTTTCTTGCTTTCTTTTTTTTACAGAGTCTCACTCTGTTGCCCCAGCTAGAGTGTCGTAGCGTCATCCTAGCTCACAGCAACCTCCAAGTCCTGGGCTCAAGTGATCCTCCTGCCTCAGCCTCCCCGAGTAGCTGGGACTACAGGCATGCACCACCATGCCCGGCTAATTTTTTTCTATATATATATTTTTAGTTAGCCAATTAATTTCTTTCTATTTATAGTAGAGACGGGGTCTCACTCTTGCTCAGGCTGGTTTTTAACTCCTGACCTCCAGCGATCCACCTGCTTTGGTCTCCCAGAGTGCTAGGATGACAGGCGTGAGCCACCACGCCCGGCTTTCTTTTCTTTCTCTTTTTTTTTTTTTTTGTGACGGAATCTCACTCTGTTGCCCAGGCTAGAGTGAGTGCCGTGGCGTCAGCCTCGCTCACTTCAACCTCCAACTCCTGGGCTCAAGCGATCCTCCTGCCTCAGCCTCCCAAGTAGCTGGGACTGTACAGGCACGCGCCACCATGCCCTGCTAATTTTTTTCTATATATTTTTAGTTGACCAATTAATTTCTTTCTAATGTTAGTAGAGACGGGGTCTCGCTCTTGCTCAGGCTAGTCTCGAACTCCTGACCTCGAGCGATCCTCCTGCCTCGGCCTCCCAGAGTGCTAGGGCGACAGGCGTGAGCCACCGCGCCCGGCCCCTTAAAGATGTTTTAATGGTTGAAAGAGGTAATGCCTATGGGAAGACTACCATAGCTCTGGGCCTAGAAGGAGGCGGCAATTAGTGTTTCCAACTGATACTAACGTCGTTTCCTAGAGATTATATGGTCACATGTGGGTGGACCATATTTTTTGAGCCTCGAATTAAGAAATAAGTATAATATATTTGAGTCTAGTCATGGAAAAACCGATGAGAATATTTGAAATAGGACTAGTCTGACAAAATATTAAATGATTTCTAATGTCTTAATGTATATGCTTATACTAAATCGAGAGCTTCACATCATCTCTGTCTTCTAGAACTTTGTAGAAAGAGGAGAAGCATGTCTCAAAATATGAGCCTCACGTAGCAAAAGTAAAATTAAATTAAATTAAAAAGTCGGTAGACTGAGACCCACTGACCGTTACCCGAGTCCTTATCTTACTCCTTACGTTGTAGATAAAAAAACAGATGAGGTTTTTGGGTTTGGGCTTCATTATTTTGCCTTTGGGCCCCCAGAGAACAACGATGAGAATATGGACTCCAAACTTATTTTTATTTCCTTGTGAGATGTAACAATAAGAGTTAAGAAATGAATAATATGGGGAAGTGGGAAA